ATAATTAAAATGATTCCTCTTTAAGCATTAAATTTGTAGCATACGATATCTAAAAAAATTGCAGTTCCTCGAGATTCATTAAAATGAGATAATAATATATATTTTTATTTATTTTTAAAAGTTAAATTATTCAAATATTTTTGGTAAACAAATACTTTATTATTTGTTATCTGTTTTAGATAACCTCAGTTGCCATTTTCTATTAAAACTAATGAAATTTCGTAGAATTTTTCATTTAAAGTATTGAATTCTAAAAACACACGCATATGTGCGTGAATCAACCATAAAAAGAACCGATGAAAAGAAAAAAGAAAACAAATTTCAGAAATGTAGAATAGAAATGTGATTTAAGATCAAACTTACGAAGAATTAGCTTTACCTTTGGCCAGCTATCACTGATCAAACTTACAAAGAATGACCTTGTACACAGATAAAAGGGGTGGATTTTGTAAAGAAATAGGGGAAAGAGGCATTTTAAGGGCAACCTGGGATTCGCCTCTGTGTGTGTTGTTTTCTTAAAATGGTGGGCTGGCAGAGGTTTCTGAACGTTCAAAATGTAAAGTTGGGATAGAGAGCTTTAGGGGCTGTTCTCTTCTTATTTCAATTTTGAGTAGTTTTCATTTTGAGATTCTTAAAAATGTATTCTTTTTGTCATTTTGAAAAATTATTTCGAAAAATAAAAATACCCAAAACTTGTTGTCTCTCTTCTTCCACTCTCTCTCGTCTCTATCTCTCTCTTCTTCCTCTGTTTCTCTGTCGTCTCTCTCTGTTTTTGTACGGTGTGCAGTGTTTTTGGGCGGTGGCGTGGTGGGCTTCTTCTGGTGCAGTGGTTTTGGGCGGTGGGGGACTTCTTCTAGTGCGATGGTTTTGGGTGGTGGGCTTCTTTTAGTGTGGTGTTTTTGGGCGGTGGCATCGCTGACTTCTTCTGCTGTGGTGATTTTGGGTGGTGGCATGGTGGGCTTCTTCTTCTGTGGTGGTTTTGGGTAGTGGCGTCGCTGGCTTCTTCTGTTGTGGTGGTTGTGACGCCGCGCGGCGGTGGGTGTAGCGGTGTGACGACGACGTTGTGGTGCAGGTGGTGTGTGCAGGTAGCAATGGCAGTGGTTGTTGGTAGCTTAATCGAAAATATCGAAAATGCGTTTTGAAAATTTTGGTTTGGTTATAACTGAAAATACCCAAAACGACAAATTTGTAGTTTTGAGTTTTCTTTATAAATTTTTAACTTGTTTTCAAAAACGCATTTTCGAAAATAGGAAAAAGAACCCGTTTTCACTGTTTTGGAAAATCGAAAATAGAAAACGACTTGAAAACTGTAAAGAGAACATGCCCTTAACTTCATAATGGAAATGGTCCCTTGTTTCTTAAAATGGCGGGTTGATAGAGGTGTTTGAACGTTCAAAATGTAAAGTGGGGATGGAGAGTTTTTTTTTTTCAAAATGGAAATGGTCTCCGACTCCCTGAAAAGGGGAAGAGTTTTTAGTTGGACACCAAGATGCCAGTTCACCACCACTTAAAAAGACAATAATACATTTTTACCTTACAAGACTAAAACAAACACTTTACACTTAAAACATAACTTTGCGTTTAAGGTGAAGAAATTAAACAAGTCTACATATACAATTATCTATGTTGACGACAGTTATAGTTGACATTTGTGAGTGACGAAAATGGATACGAATAAATTCTTTGTAGTTCGCTGGTATGCATGAGAGCATATTTGTGAAGTGGGTATTCGTCAAAATGATTTTTTTTCTCCTTTTTTGTTTAAAAAAATTATAGATATGTTTAATAAAATGTAAGAATTTGTCTAAATGTTAACATATTTCGAAATAAAGATTTAATGATTAAGAAAATATACTAATTTAATGAAAATGAAATTAAATAAATGCAACTATACTTACCTATTCAAACTGGTGGACATAAACGAGATTTGTGAGAATTTGATAAATTTATAAGGTTTTAAGGTTGTAGTAGATGAAAAATGAAAGATGTTATTTGTGTAGAAGAAAACAGATACAGAAATTTATTTGGTTTTGAAATTTGAAGTGAGAAGTGTTTGTTTTTGCTTTATAACTTAAAAGGGTATTATTATCTTTTTAAGTGTTTGTTTTGTCTTTTTAACATAAAACTATATTTTTGTAATTTTTTAACATTTTTAAGGGTATCCTTATTTTTTGTTGTTGAAAATGCCATTACAGTGAATATCTAATAAGTTTGGTTCATGGGGTAAAGTGACATCTTGACTTGGCCAAACTAAAAACTCTCCCCGTTGACTCATCGTGAAAGTCTTTGTTAATGTCGAGTGATAATTAAGGATGCTCAAATATGTACTCGATCAACTTGTTCTTTTGATGAATAGAAATTACAAGGCAATCTTCCAAATATGAACAAATTACATACTATAGCATCATAGCAGACGGTGTGATTAGGGACCATAAGTTGCCGAATTTGACATTTAAGTTTTTTATTATATATAATGATTTGTCTATACACATTAATATGAAGTTCACCAAATGTAGAATAATTAAGAGTTGACATAACAAGCGTAATATTATTTTATAGTTTGGTATAATATCCTAGAAACGGGGTACATTTGGTAAGTTGCACTGCGATGAAGATGATCGCATTAAGCAACTCCATAAATCAAAATCATTATGATTATAATCCAATTGAGAATCAGTTTCGTAATGCGTGTTGGAAAGGGAAGACGACGTAAGTTGTTGATGTAATTGTGGACGTTGATCATCACCATCATCACTGGGATTGATGCAGAAACTCGTAAAACCAGCAGATAACTGCTTGCAATTAGTCTTTCTTTCACCATTGAGGTGTGATGCCACCACCCTGTCAAGTGTTACCCAATCTTGAATACCAATCGCGGGTTGATTAAAACTTTGGCTGCCGGAAGAAGAGTCCTCGGGGCTCTCGAGACTGGGGAGTTTGGTGAAGCTATTTCGACCACGGCTAGTGTTTATCGGCATGCCTAATTCCTCCTTGCATGTACTTCCCATGTACTGGAGAATTTGTTCCAATGTCCCTTCCTCCGATGAATTCAACAATTTTTGGTCGCCGGATGAAGTACTATCGAGGGTTTTACATTGATTTTTCTTCTTAAATATTCGACAAATCACCCACCCCACTTCTTGTGTTAACCCCTCTAATTCCTTAACATTGCACACAGACAACAATTAGACAACCTTAACTATAAAGTGGATCAATTAATCAAGGCTAGTACTTACATTATCATCGGCTTCAAGCCTGTATTCATGCATGATCCAATCGGACTTTCGCCCATGAGGAGCTCGACCATTGTAGAAAACAAGCGTCTTCCTCCTGCCTATCTGTCGAGAGTTACTATATATCACTTTGTCACGGCCTGTTGCTTTCCAAAATCCAGCTGCAGTTGCACGATTAGTACGCGTACCAGTGGGGTACTTTTTATCCTTGTGACTGAAAAAATACCAATCATTCTGTGGTGTAGATCCAATTTTGCATTTCTCTGAAATTAAAATACAAAACTCAATCAAAGAAATTAAGAATTCGAATATCAAATGTTGTCTACCTTGAATGTCCCATGGCTCGAGTTTATTAAGATCAACATCTGGGATAACATCCAAATCAATCCTCTGAAGATCAACTTTTTTTCTCAAATAGTATTGCAAAAGCTCCTCTTCTGTTGGATGAAATCTGAATCCAGGAGGGACTTGGGATTCTCCATTCACTGAGAAACTCATTTCAATTGTTGATGTCTAAGAAAATCTATTAAAGAAGGCTATATAAATAAACTCATACTCATTTCAAAAAACCTAACTGGTGCAGTTAGATTCGAGTCTCCAAGAGATAGAGCCACCCACCTGCAAGGATAGGAGTGGGCTCCACAGCTGGACTATCTCTGTCAATATAACTGTGACTCGAGACCTTGAAACATCGACAGTAAAAGCACCATTCAAACTAACAAGTACTCTCTCTATTCAAAGAATGCAACCACCGCAACGAAAACCAGATGATGGGGTCGGAGACAAGGAGCTTTCAATGGAAAAAAATAAATATAGAAATGATGATGATATAGAGAGGGTGGGGGTGGGGGCTGCTTTCTTGCTTGATATGTATGTTGTACTTGTCTATCTTTAGATGGACTAAGAAGGAGATGCACTACTTGAAATTTGAATTCCATAAACTTATTTTTCAAAATTGTGTAACCTAAAGAACATTAATGAAGATCAGCGTGTCAATAGGATAGATAGTTTTAAGGAATAATTTAGAGAAACAATCCCGATAATTATAAGGTAATTTCCATCACGATTATAACCTTTAACCCATGTAGGAATTAAAATTCAAATTTTAATCTAAATCAAAGTCAATAATTTATTTCAACAACATATTTCATGTGTCCCACAACTTTTTTAATCACACATTTCATCAACTTCTATCAAAATTTACTTAAAACCTGATTTTAATTCTCAACAAACACGGGCTTAATAAATGTATCGTTCGTGTTTACAACTTATCATTTGTTGCTTACACTCACTTCTCCTAATATGTTTGAATGTTAAACAGTTATGTAAGGTTCGAGATGAGTATGTGGTTCGATGAATATTAATGAATCTTACCATATTCCGTTTTCTAAACGAAAGTTAAAGTAATTTTTAGATCGTTTTGGATAACGAAAATCATTTTACACATTATGCCTCCATTTGGTAACCATTAAAATTTTCATTCTCATTCTTCTACTCATTTTTAACCACACATTCTTCAATAAAATAATATTTTCCATCACATCAATAACTTTGCCTTCTTTTTTAACCACACATTCTCCATGGACCCCACTTGATGTGAAAGATAAAATGTATT